GTCGGGGAGCGCGGAGGGGAGCCAAGGAGGGACGGGAGCCGGAGTTGCACGGCCCTGGCGGCGAGCGCAGCCGCTTGAGGCTCTGGGATGAGTTCTTGAGCGGCAGACGGGCTGCGGAGGAGGCAGATAACTCTGCCCGAGGTGGATTCGCCTCCGCGGAGGCGCTCGATGCGCGTAGCCCTGGCCGGGGATTTGGTGAGAGCTCCGCTCCGCGCTCGCTCGCACTCCGGAGCGATGCAGCCCACGGCTGCTTTGGAAGGAGACGGAACACGGTGCACGTTTTGTTGTTGTTTACTTTGCACGTACGGAGGTACGAAATCAACTGCCAGCCTGTGTGCGAGCGCGGGAAAGGTGGGTGAAATTAAACGTTGCAGTTACAGCTAGATCTTCGTAAAGCAGCTCTTGGATGTCTACGCACTGCCGGTTATTTCAAAGATACTCAGACTTAGCAATCATGTAATTTATGACTTATCACCTCAATGCATGATTTAATCATCAGCTTGTGTTTAATAACTAGAGCAACTTCCAGAAGACAGAAGAAGAACAATAGGTAATGAGAATAGCAGTATTTGTTGCTGGAAATTTTTAAACAATCAGACCAGATCTGAAACATGAGTAGCCGATTGCTCTGGACGCGCTGCCCGCCGCACGTCTGCTCTCTCTGCGCTCAAGGGGATCATCTTGATTAATCCATCAACAAGAGTTAATAACCTCTTGCTTTCGGCAGGTTGTTCGTGGCTGCGGTGGTGGCGGTGAGGTCCTCCTCTTGCCCTCATGCGGTCGCTCTGCCGAGTCTCACTCTCCTTGCTCCAAGCAGCTCCTCTCCTGACCTTCTCCCTCCAGGATTTCCGTTCCAGAGGGGGATCAGGACCTCACCCGTGTAGGGCACCTGGCAGCCACCGCCTCCCCAGTCCACCTCTTTCCCAAAGCGCTCCCTGGCCAGCGCGAGCTGGGTGCTGCACGTGGTGATTTCAAGCTGCTAGCGAGTTCTCTCGAAAGAATGAGTTAAATGTGATTGCAGAGACTTCACCCCACTCTCCGTTACCCTGCCAATATTTGTGGTTTTGTGCTCACATTTTCCTGCAATTTAAATGATTTCCTGTCCTTTGTTGCTCTGTGAAAGACAGGCACAAACAGGAGGGAACCGACTGCGCAGGTCAGGAGCGAAGCTGCTGTTGGAACAAGCAGTGTTGTCCAAAGCAGCTCCGGGTCCTTCGGAGCAGATGTTGCCCCCTGCACTCCGGAGCCTCTCCAGGGTTACGGAACCCCCCGGGGACACTCGTCCCTTGTGGATCTAGTGGCTCTGGGGACAAACGGAGGTGAGGTTGACCCAGGCATCTCAGGGTTAATGTTCCCTGTGATTAATGCTGCAGAAATATGGAAAGGAAACCACACGTTTGAATGCAAAGCCTCCATCTCCTCCTTCCAGAGACCTTGCAATTAGCTGGTCATTGATGCCAGCCAAGTGCACTCGCAGATCTAGGTCAGCACAAGGCCCTGGAGCTTGCTGGGCTCCACGTGCTTGATTCCTTGGAGCGTGGGCCTGTTGCAGTGCTCCCGGAGCCTGAGTTTTGCTTTGCTACCTGCTGACTGCGTGGGGAAGCTGGTGTGATCCGTTCTCCCATCTCCTGTGTCCTGCTGCACAGGATGTTTGGGTGGCAGATGTTAAAGTCAAGGCTTTAGTGGCTCTTGTAAGCAAGTGCTTCAGATTTCAGGGCGCTTTGTCCAAGGCATTTTGACCAAATCATGAGTGTTCAGATCTTACCCATAACTTTTCCTTTGGCTGTATTTGAAGATATTTCTTCTTCTTCCCTCACTCTTAAGACTCTTGTGCTGTCCTGCTGCGGACAAGCAAGTCCCCCTCCCCAGCCTGGAAGTGGCTCTTTCGGTAGGAGATGAAATAAATGAGCTGGTGCCGGGAGGTGGCAGCTGGATGCACTGGACAGGCACAGGTTGTATTCTGCTGAGGTGCAACTGCATGCAGATTCCTCTGAGCAGCTTCACCATAGGCAAATTTAGCCATAAATTTGCTATTTAGCCATAAATGTTGCTGAAAAATAGTGATTCTGTCTGCCAGATCTTACTGTAAGATGGCTGTGTTGTGCTAGAGACAAAATCATCCCATGTGGCCTTCATCAGACGCCTCATACCTGGCAAAGAGGGATGTGCAGCCTGCTTCTGCTTGGTTATTTTTTTACACTGTTCTGGGACTGATCTCTTTTTCAGTAGCACCTTTGCAAGCTCAGTAGGATGGCACGAGGCTGTCACAAAAGCAGCAATTCCTCAATTTCTCTACAGTGATATCTGAGCTGCAACATTCGTTGAATTCTTCCTCCTTGTTTGCTTTGCTTTTCAACGGGGATGAGTCACGTATGCTAATAGAGCTGGCAAGGAAGTTACAGGGAGAAATTCTACTCTTCCTAAAATGTTACCGAAGTCTCTTATTTTCATGGAGTTTTATGGCCTGTCTCCTATTCAGTACAGTTAAAATTAATTTCATGCCCCAGTTCATTCCAGTGTTTGCAATTTCAAAAGCTTTTAAGTCCTGTTTAACTGCCTTGCTCCCCGTCTGCTCGGGTCCATTTGGCTCTCCTGTGGAGGCTTCCAGCAAACCTGCTGAGTTTTGCATGCTGGCGGCGGGAGCGAGGCCGCCGAGGGGCCGCGCCGGGACGTGACCTGCCCCAAAGTCACCTGTGGCTGGATGTGCTCGAAGCTCCTGCTTTGGAGGAAGAGGCTCTGCCCCTGGGTCGCGAGGAAGGGAGAGCGCAAGGTGAGGGCTGATTCCCCCTCGTTTCAGTGGGGACATCGTGGGCCTTGCCCCGGCGCTGGCTCGGGGCGCGCTGCGTCCCGCGCGCACGGTGGGTTGCGACGCTCAGGCTCCTGCAGGACGTGACAGGAGTGGGACACGAGGCCACGGGAAGGGTTCTGGGTGAGTTTAGGGGTCTGCAAAGTCCTCTCGTTGCTTTTGGTTTTCAGGCTTTGCTGAAATAGAGCAATAGATGCTGCAGCTGGTGGCTTTGCTGGGGGATGAACCTTGTGTCTGCAGAGCTGAAATTGTCAGTCCAAGCTCAGACAGGTTTAGGGCCTTTTGAATAGCTTTTCTTTTTCAGATACCTCTTTCTATTCCAAAAAGAGCAGAACAGTTTCCTCCTGAAGCTCTTCTAACTACAGCCTTCCCAAGCACTTGTCACTGTAAAATTTAAGTCTTCTTTTCATTACTGGCTGTTTTGTTTTCGGGTTTTAGTAGCAGTGGATTGCCTCTGAATTCATAATACAAGCCTGACGTGTAACACAAGCGTTCTTCCAAACACTGTCACTACCGGTACCTTCTCTTTCAGGTCTTTCCATTAAAGCTTGTAGACATTTTCCTCCTCAGAGATTCAGCGAGCGGCTCCCTGCACCCCGTGCCCGGCTCCTCACCCGCTCCCTCTTGGTTTGCACGTGCCAGGCAGAATGACTCGTGAGGAAGGACTGGATGGCAGTGACGCTCCGCAACCTTCTCCCTGGTTCTCTTGCCGGTGCTGGAGCGGACATGGGGTTTGTTGGGACACGCTGGGAGCACTTGGGCTCGTGGCATCAGCAAAGGCTGTAGGGGAAGGCAAAGGCGGAGGACGTGTGGTCCTCTGGCATCACCAAAAGTGCTTCACCAGAAAGTGTTTGAGGGCTGCAAGGAGGCTGCTCCCCACGGCTGGCTTTTAAGGGGCCTCGCCTCCGGGTTAATAGGTTATACTGTATTCCCAGGTGCAGCTGTGGGCTCTGGCCACTTCAGAGCAAGGAAATGAGTGAGAGGAATGACCCATGGAAAGGTTGACCTGCTCCCTGCCCTCTCTGCAGGGCATCTTGCGGCCCAAAACGTAGGAAATCAGAGACGGAGCAGCAGTGTGATGGCCTCGTACCGGGAAAGCTCAGCATGCGGTGCACACGGAGCGCGGGAGACCCCATTCCTGTGCACAGAGCCCTTCTCCTTGTTGCTTGGGCAGTTTAACCTTGGGACACTCGTGCTGTGCTCCGTGGATCCCGTGATTTCAGGGTCTCCAGTCTTACTGGCAGCGCTTTGTTTGGCTCCATTGCCAGAAGGCTTCTCCGCTTCCGGCCCTCGCCTGCGGGATGAATCCCGCCGTGCGAGCGGTTTGCCAGCTGCTCGCGCGCTCCTTCCCGTCACTCTTCGCAGCCTTGATCCCCGCTTTGTTTGCGCTGGCTCTTTGATGAAAGGCGTTCCTGTGTAATTAAATACCCGTGATTAGTTCTGATCAAATAGCAAAGTTCTTTTCATCTCTTCCTGCGCTGGCTCCAGGTCTGCGCAGGCAGCTTTGGCCGGGTGCACTGCGTTGGATCTGCCCATCCTTGGAGCCTTATCCGCGCGTTTCGGCAGGGTGCACGTGGATGTGCCCCCGACACGGACACACATGCGTGCACATCCTGCACATCCTGTCAGGATCCCGACCTCCAGGAGCATTCCAGCCGAGTAATGCATGTGGACCCGAGCCAAGTAACTCAGAAGTGATTTTTCTT